ATTTTCAAGAATTAATATTATTTTCCAAATAGAACTGTAGAATTAAAAGCTTGAGAGAAATAAAATAAAGAATTTAAAAGATTTTTTTTTTGATGACATTCGTTGTAAAACTCTGAATAGGTTGAGGCAAATTAGTCAAGTTTTTAAACATTTAGTTTATTTGCTTATAATCAATTCCTGAATTTTGAAAATTTTGATATTGTAAATTCCTAGAAATTCTTAAGTCTAGATTTCAAAACATTAAGATTTTTGACAAATGCTCAAACAATTCTCACACAAAATAAAACTGCGCAATAATTCATTAAAGCCATGATACTTAAAATATTATGACTCGTATGAGTTCTTTGACACTTGCTCGAAATAATATGCATGATTTCTTCTCGCTCATTTCATTTGATATTCCACATAGATTAATGTAAACATTCATTAAAATGGACTTTTTAAAAAATCTGAATATTCCTTTTTATTTGCTCATCAAATGTTTGTTCTGAAAGAGGAGTTAATGTTTTCTGTTGCTATTCTAAATATCCAATGATTTTTTTTTTTTTGGATGAGCAAATATGTGCATTTCAAAAATATCAAATGCTCATTTCACAGCTATAATGAAAAGACTCGTGCATGTAAAATGCTCATATGATTATTTAATTTTGCTTGAATTTTTTTGTGTAACTTTAATTTAAAGTCGTGAAATTTTTGAAATTCTCAAATGGATTGTTCAAAATTAAATTTGCAGTTACATCACTCTGGAGAATCTGAATCTAAAATCTAGTTTTTGTGGCTACATAATATTCGATCGACCCATCACAATCCTCATTGTATTTGTCACTAGTCTTAAATGTACACAATACGACATTGGCACTAACAATGAAATATCTTTCAAAAACAATTGCCTCGAAGTCAAAAAGAGCTCATCAATAAATATTTGCGGAATTGCTCGAAAAAATGTATCAACAATTTTTTATTGTTTTAATATTCTTTGCTCAGTTCTTTCTCTCTTATTTCACTAAATACAAAATGCCGATGCTTAACATTTTTTTCGATTATGCTTCACTTTATAATATGAATGTAGTTCTTATTCTCTTTATACTTTATATTAAAATCCGTTATCGAGGTAATGTAATAGAAAAAGCAGCAAAAAAAAGATGAAGAATGTTTCAATAGTTGGTCATTAAGATTAAGAGCACAGAACTGTGTCGGTACATGTTTATGTATCTGAGCAAAATGCGGTGTGGCTTCTTATTATGGCAGGCAATTCATTAAAGAAAATTCATAATAACAGATCAAAAGCATTCTTAGTCTTGTGTGTGACTCTTTTTGTTCCTTCATTTCTTTTGCAGTTGTTCTTTTTCAATAATCCACAATTAGACAAAGACTTGCAGTGGGTTTGATGATGATTTATTGTTGGAACTGTAACAATAGAATTATAATCAACATGCTATTAAAAGTTGTAGTGTTAAGGAAGCTACAATTATAGACTGTAAGATAAGTGCATATTAGTAATTACAGTCGTTGTATTAGGTTCTGTAGAAGCTATTCATTCATACTTGTTTGAGTCTACTGTAGCTCTTTATTCTTAGTTGTTTGAGTCTAATGTAGCTAAAACTTTGACTTTTGATACAAATTTGAATATTTGACTTCTTTTGGTCTTTAATGAGTCTGTAAACTTCTTAATGAGATGCCTGATTGATATCTCATTTTCTTTCTGATAGCTTTAGACAAAATACAGTCAACTCTCCAAAAAAAATTCCACTAAAAGCCATCAGCTTCAAAATATTCCCACTTTCATATGTCATGGATTTTAAACTGTTAATTTATTTCTCTTGGCCAATTAAAGTTTTTCTATATGCACTAATTTTATCTGGCTTTTTCATTATTAATAGCATAATCAACAGTAGATATTTATAATATATTAAATGAATTCTGTCTATTTCTATCTCTCATCATTATTCATTTTTGCACAATTTTATTCTTCATGTGCTGTTTTCTCTCGACTTGCAGAATGGATTAACAATGAACAGAATAAAAAGCTACAGAAAGAAATGAATTGACTGCATTTACTGCTCACTTTAAATTTATGGCGTTAAGTGATGCCGAGTCATCATCGGATGTTTTATGTAGCTTATAATTATGGGACGAAACGGTTGTGAATAGTATCATAAATTGTAGCTACCAGGTTGGATTGAAAGTGTGGGTTTTAGAAGAAATTTCTATATTAGTTCCTGAGGGGATGAGCTAATGTTCTGGTTTGTGATACTGTATTTAACTTCAACTATTATTCCGAAATGTAAATTTCGATGACTTTACAGTAGCCAAAAATGTCTAGGAGATGATTGTTATACATCTACTCATTCTGGACCATTTTAAAAAACAGAAAAAAAAATTCAAGCCACTAAATTTATTGAGAGGGACAATTAAAAGAGAAATGATAAGCTATTGACTTTATTATTGCATTGAAAGGATCATCAAGCTCCAAATAAATTTATTTTCGTCGGATTAAGCATTTTAGAAATAAACTCATTGAGGTGTTTAATGGAAAAAAGTAAGAAAGAAAGAAAATGAAAATAAAAATGGAAAGTATTGCTTTACTATTTACTAAAAAATCACTCTCGAACGCGTTAAGTATTTGCGTTTAGTATATTTTTCAAATCATCTGCAATTTTCAATTGTAACGCGCTAATTAGGCGAAACAAAAATCACTCAAATACTTTCTAAAGAATGGAGCATGCAGCTTTAAGGAATTATTATGATAATGGGAGGTGCATTGCGATTTTTTATGGGCTTTGCACAGTTTATTCGTGCTGATTATGAAAGTGCAAAAAATTAATGGCTTTTCTATTTTTTCAAGTCTTGAATATACAGATGCATTAAGGTGTTAATTTATTATCTGAAAATTAAAATAAACTTTGTAAAGGTTAAACATCTTAGGCATTATAGCTTGGATTTGGTGGTTTTCATGAAAAACAAATTTCATGATTTGTAATCTAAAACTGCATAAACATTCAGTAATTAAGTAAAATAAACACAATCCAAGTCAGTCCAAGTCAACATCAAATTTCATTATTCACTTAACATCGCATCACATTCCAAGATATCTCTTTGATAAAAACTCACTCAATGTCCGTCAAGATGAGCTCTTTAAGTGAATAAAAAAGTTGAGTTCATTTGTGCGATGAAAGAAAACTGATAGAAAGAGAAACAATAAGACGAGAAGAAACCTGTAAATGAAACATAATAGCACAAAGTAACTCTTTCTGCATAAAAATGCGATACATACTTAACAATTAGCATCGTTGTTATTTGAATTATGTATGGAATGTAACAAGACTTACTTTTGACTTTATAAAGTTGTCACCAATCATCTATCTCGTTTATGATGGTTTAAGCGTGAATCAATGTCGATGCCATATTGGGAGGATTTATTTACTTTCAGTCTAGTGATTATGAAAATTACAATGTTCAAAACTGATAGGAACATTGAACTTTTGTATACTTTTGCAATGTTATTAATCAAATTTAATTAAGTTACGATGTTTATTAATGGAAGAGTGAAGAATTATTATTATGACGGAACTTTTAACATCGAGGATACTTTCTGAGTAGACAATCTACTAGAAACTGATATTTATGGAAATTAAAATTAGTTTCAATATTTTTGACATGATTTCATTCAGTTTCTGATAAGTATTAGGTAATTCTGCACAATTTCATTGATTTCAAATTCTAAAGACCTTTTGAAGCTCTAAGCAACTGTTTAAGATACTTAACGAAATGCTCAAATGAACCCTCAAGTTAATAATTCACCAAAACCTATGCAATTATACATACATTTATCAAGCAAAATTTAATTAACACTTAAAGAATTATTACAATCTTGATTTCCACATGTAAATGTCAAAATATATCTCATCTACTTAAAGAACAACAACAAAACCGACAATTTTGATTAATAAATGCAAGTTCCTCTTCTTTTCAACACAATGACAGCGGTAAATTAAGATAAAATTAATTACTTCACATTCAGTACATAACACAAACTGTTTATTAAACAAAACGGATGGAAGAAACAAGAATTGAGCGTAAAAAAGTTGCAAAGTGCAATAAAAAGGCAACAATAATGCAGCAGCTGGGTTTGAAAGGAGGTGGAACAAAGAACGAGAAAGACAGACGGTTTTTGTAATTAAGAGACAGGCTCATATTACACTTCATGATTTTGACTTTGACTAGCAACAGCTATGCATTTTAATCGACGTCAATTAGGCTTAGAAGATTAATTTCACGTAAATGCTACTGTTAAAATGATTTGATGATATAACGATGTGGGAGATTTTACATTTAGAATCACGCTATATTAAGATTAAATGTTTTGCGGTGGTTTTCAGGCTGTGTGGATTGAAATTTGTATTTGGTCAGAAAGAAACCGTTAGCTAATCAATCAATGAGGATAAATACCTACATTATTACATTGCTATTGACTCATTAACATTGACTGCTAATTTTTATTGGGATCTCGAACCACATTTTGGACAAAGTCATTATCATGTGACCTTAAAAAAAAGGTTGGAACATTGCTTTTACACAATATGATTGAATCATACGACATGTTCCTCTGCAATTTTATATGACATTGTCCACTATGTCGGTATATCTATCAATTAACTTTACAATGTCAACCCGCTTCTGTTTAAAAGGTCAAGAAATTCAAGTAATCTCAACCGAATGTAAACAATCTAGAAATTATCACATAATAAAATTTAATCCAATTAAAAAGAAAGCACATCCAGTTAAGCTGGACATGACATTAAACAATAAAATAAAAATAGCAACTCTTGATGCAATCCGCGATATGCGATTCACTGAAAAAGTTAATATTATAATTAATTAACTGTCTAAGATCTCGTGCGCGCATGCGAGCAAGTGCACTACTGATGATTATTTTTTATATTAATAACGTACATATGCATACAATTCAACTGCAATGTTAATCATTTCTCTACTTCCAGGCATATATCACTTCAACGAAGCGTATCTTGAAAATAATAAAAACTTCGCAGTGTGAAATTTGAGATATAAATTTCTAACCACAAAGTAAATAAAGCTACAAACATGATGAATGGAAGTCAAGACCATACAAATGGTGATATTTTATCACAAAATCAACAGAAAGGATGGTGGACAATAGGTCTCATAAACGGAGCACATAAATACATGACGGCAGAGACATTTGGATTTAAGCTTAATGCCAACGGTGCGAGTCTTAAAAAGAAACAGTTATGGACATTGGAACCATCATCTACCGGAGAAAGTGAGTGAATTTTTTTTTCTAATAATTATCGAACAAAGCTCTTATCAACACCATGTGTGTTTATATATTTTATGGATTATGAATTTTCTGATGGAAGATGAAAGAAATCATTTTATTTTTGCGGAAGTGATTTTTTTTTGCTCATATTTTTAATTGCTTTCCAATTAAAAATAATTTTTATCAGCACTTAAAATTTTCGCAGTCGAAGAGAAACTCTTGAATTATTGAAATTTAATTTAACTTCTGTGAATGAACGGAATTACTGTCTAAATTTCTATTTTAGAGGATTTGATTTTACTGATTAGACAAATGGCATTTTTAACCAACATCTTAGCAAAAGAATAATCGTTCGTTAAAGTTTTAAGATCTAATAAAGAGCCACTAAGCCATACATATTTTGTTGAAATTACAGTAAATTTGATCAATATTTTAGATTACTTAATATTAATCAGATGCAACATAGTTTAAGAATTCAATCAGAAGAAAACTGATTGGCCTTGAACCAACAACTTAACTAGCTGTTGAGCGAGAAAGTTCAGCACTAATATCGTACAAACATCTTAAAACAAAGCATTTTTACCACCTATTTTCCATTTAATCTCCTTTCACTCCGAATTTCAAGTTCAAAATAATGCAGGCATTCACTAATATTCAACTAAGCATAAATAATTATTCAAATTTTGCTCTCTGTGCTTATTTTCTTCCAAATCCATAATGTTTAACATGCTAAACATAGGCCCGTTGATCAACAGACAGTTTAATGGTTATCACATGCATAACGTTTATGGTGCGAGAAGTTGAATTAAATTAACGAATGTGCAGTCGTGTATGGTTATAAAATGTGTCCATCATGTGGTTGTGTGTTTTTTTTGGAGCTTAATTTAGATTGAGATATTTTAAGTGAATGCGCTTATTTAATTTGACATCAATGAGCATTTAAACTAGTTTCTTTAGAGCTACTTGCTAAACTCTTCACAATCTGTTCAATTCCTTACAGATTTCTATAGTTTGGTGAATTGAAGATAGCATTCTTAATTGTATATGTGCTAAATTTGTATATTCATCCACAATACTTATATTTTTATGTGCACGAACAAGAATTAATTTAATTTTAATTAACACACAAAATCAGAAAACTGTGAAATGTTGAATTGAATTAAATTCTTTATATGATTTTACTTTTGTATAAAAATTTTCACATTTTCGTGAAATTTCCTGTTAAACTGTATGTGTAAATTGATGATCATCTTCCCTAAATTATAACATGCGAAAGACTAAAAGAAGAAATGAATATGAACATTTATAAATTTATTATATGACTCCGGGTTATTTGCGAATGATGAATGGTTCTCAATTTGGAATAAGATTTATAGTTTCTATTTTTTTATGATCGCGTTTTAATCTTCTTGTAATTTTGTTCAAATAAAAGATTAGAGGTAAATGATCTTAGGCTGGAATCTAAAATATGATGAACTTATGGAACAGTAAAGTGACACAGAAGTCGATCATTTTTTCAGGCATAATGTTTGTAGGCTTGTCGTGCGTAACGGTCAGACGAATTCGTAATCAATTCTTCATAGAATTAAAGAAGCATGAAATTTATATCACAATATTGTAATGAAATTTTTCGTTATTTATGATGATGATTTTTTTTTCTAATTTCGTGTCTTTTGATGCATTTAAGTGTCAAAGATTTGGTTGATGAGATTTGAAAACAAATGAATTAGTATTCAATTTGAACAGTTCTGGATTTTAATCATCGACTCACTCATGACAACCATGGTTTTTGATCAATATTCAATAATTTGCTGCCACTTTAGCTTTGGTTGTCATTTCCGTTTAGCAAACACATTGATGATATTGCTATAAAATTTACATATGTCCTTTTAGCTTCATAAATTATCATTGAATTCCCTAAAGTCAATATAAGCAGTTCATTCTTGTGTCCATAGAAAATAAGATGCATAAAAATTAAAAATAAAATTAGTTTTGTAAAGAATCTCAAGCGTCATTTATTGCCAAACTGTTCAAAAGTTATCACTCAACCTCATTGGCATACATGTCATAGAATCAAATAATATTTACAAACTAATGATAAGAATACAAAAACAAACTTGCGCAATATGTCAAAAATTTAGCCATAAGATGGGCCGCTCAATAAACCTGCAGTTGCTGAAGCATGACTTGCTGCATGTGTACTGTGTGCATTGCCGGAGGACGAAGCAGATGCAGATGATTGTGAAAATCCACTCGTAACTTTAAATAAATCATTTCCGACACTCGTCGATCCAGAATAAGAATTGGCACTGGCACTTGAGTGTGCATTATTATTGACTAACTTATGTAAATTTAAACCGACATTGTCAAGAGTACTCCAATCGTTAGTACCATGTGCAGTGGAATCAACAGGTTTTGAATCATGTACGGCATTTACATTTGCGTTGCTGTTGCTCGTGCTGTGTGATGATGATGAAAAGTCATTTCCACTTCCACTATATGAATTTGAGTTTGCTACATTGCCATGAGCATTTTGTGGATTATTTGAACCATGAGAATGCGGGCCATAGTTGCCACCAGTTGATAAGGACTCTGTGTTTGTAGTAAAACCGCCTGCATTATTTGTATTGGTATTTGAATTAAAACCACCGTTGCCATGAGAATTAAAGTGATTGCTTGCATCGTTTGCATTGTGACCAGCACCAGAATTATGAGGATTTATGTCTGATTCATGTGTTCCATACGTTGAACCACCACCAACTTGTGCTGTGCCAGTATTTGAATTTCCAGAGCTACCTGCATTATGGCCAAAACTGGCAACAGAACCGAAATTAACTCCTCCTGTATTAGTTGGTCTGTAACTTCCAACATTTGGGTTTGATCCTCCATAACTACTTTCAGTTTGTGTTGGTTTTTTATGACCAACATTTCCATATTCACTTCCAGAACTGCCAAAACTTCCACCTACACTTCCTGATGAGCTGAATCCACCTGTATTTGAGCCTTGACTGCTTTGATTTGGTTTGTAACCACCAACATTAGATCCTGACCCACCGAAACTATTTCCAGAATTGCTAAAAGTTCCACCTACACTTCCTGATGAGCTGAATCCACCTGTATTTGAGCCTTGATTGCTTTGATTTGGTTTATAACCTCCATCATTAGGTCTTGACCCACCAAAGCTATTTCCAGAGTTGCTAAAAGTTCCACCTACACTTCCTGATGAGCCAAATCCGCTTCCAGTATTTGTACCTTGATTGCCTTGGTTGGGCTTATAACCTCCAGTATTAGGTCTTGACTCACCATAGCTACTTCCAGATGGTGTCGTACTTGGTTTGTTCTGTCCAACACCTTCAAATCCGCTACCAGAATTGCCAAAACTTCCACCAACACTTCCTGATGAGCTGAATCCACCTGCATTAGGACCTTGATTTGGCTTCTTACTTCCATCATTTCCACCGAAACCGATGCTAGCCCCATCAAGTCCAGGTTTTTTACTACCAGTATTTCCATATCCACCTCCTGCATTCCCAACATTATGGCTAAAACTGCCACTTGAAGCAAAGCTTCCAGCAGAACTTGAACTTCCTGCATAATTAAATCCATTTGTATTTTGGCCTGGATTCGGTAAAACACCTCCATGTGAGTTATGCTCTGGCACTGCTCCAAAATTTCCACCTCCATATCCGCTTTGTGGATTAAAACCAATTCCAGTGCCTTTATTTGTATTTACATTATTGTCATTACATGCATTACATCCATTATTTACTCCAGGTGAGCCTCCTTGTGGTTTAAAATTATGACCACTGCCATATAATCCTCCTCCTGCATTAGAATTAACTCCAGTGCTTCCAAATCCGCCCTGATGGGCTCCTTGAGCATTCCATCCACTACTTCCATGATGTTTATTTAGTTTATGACCAAGAATGCTTGTCCCGAGGCTATGAAGAATTTGTCCTGGTTTATATTTACTGAATCCAAGACTGAATTGCACATTTTGGTCGCCTTGACCGTGTGTTGGAAAGACTATAGGTCCTCCAGCATTTAAACCCTTTTGATGTGATTCTGTAAGAACTACAGTTGATCCAAGAGAACCTTTTCCTCCATAAAATGTTTGATGGGAATATTGGATGAATATTAGCACAATTAAGCCACAGAACTTCATTGTTTTTTTTTTTTTTTTCTAAAACTTAACACCTTATTGCTGTTCTATCAACACACAAAATCTTACTGATTCTTGACTCATTGATTAGTATGCCTTTTTAAAGGAAAAGTTGCATATGAAATTTTAAAAGCAGCACATCATTCTCTTAGTAAATTGCAAATCGTGCATTGAAAAGTTGAAGTTACAATTATTATGAGCTTGATGGTGAATAGAGCGCATTTTAAGAATTTTCACTTGATTTCTTAAACATTAAAATCAGATATTTCCAAAAACAGACCAGATTAAATAAAAAAGCGTCAATATTTAATATTGAAATAGCGTCAATAGCAGTAAGACAGAACTTGACATTCAACTTTATTATCGATATCTTAACCAAAATGATTTCAAACTAGGCATATCCAGCAAAATTCGTGTTGCACCAGAAAATCTATCTTACAATGATGTAAATTACAAGAATTATTAACTTTCCTGTAAATACAAAGTCAGAAAAGGTCAATTAATCACCATCATCAAATTAAAATGTTCATCGCACACGATAATAATTTTTTAAAGGAATTAAGTCACTAGCAGAGAAAATAACAACGATACAATAACAACTTATGCAGATAAAGCTCATTAGAATTACTCAACTAAATGATGAGACTTGAATAATTTTTTTTGAAGTGATTTTTGCGGTGATGATGAATATGTTTTAGGAAGTCAGTTTGTCGGCTACGTGACTTGTAGAAAACTGTAAGAGAATGCGGATCTTGAAATAGATTTTAAATGTTTTTGATAATGATAGGCTTGATAAAGAATTGGGATATTCCTGATGATTTTCTGATGTCTTAAATTGTTGATTGACAAGTCAAGAATAAGGGAAAAGCTTACAAGTTTTTGAATTTTACTAGCAAACCTTAAAGCAATTTTTCTAAAACTTTTTCGGCTTGTGGTACACAATCACTAGTTTTTGAAACCGAAATCCAAACTCAACTCTTAAACTTTTGTTCATCGTAGTTGTATGTCTTGACAATAATTTAAAATGGGTGCATTGACTTTATGCTGACTGGAAATTTTAAAGAACGACTATGCTGTTTTATAGCTAAAGTTATCATCTTTTAAATGTAATAGGTTTGAGTCGATAATATTATCTTATTAATTCTAAACGCAGATCCCTTGCTTTTTTTAATTCCTGGACTCAGTGCTACCCCAACTTTCCATATTTGTCATTAACATTAAAAATCATTGAAACAACCTTCATTGTTCTCATATTTGCTTCTAAGATGCGCTGAATTCATTTACTCAAAACTCCATATAACTTTCGTTAATCACGAAAGTTCAAGCGTTACTGGAAATTTTAATGATTAAACTGTTTATATTTAGTAAAAAAAATAGGCACATTTTGTTGTTTTTTCTGATTAATAAAATTTATTTTTAAGTAGTTGAAGAAAAAGATAGGCAATTATCACTTGGCTCCGAGCAATACAGTCAAAAATTAGTTTCTTATAAATTATTGAAACGTAATGTTTGCTTTTTAAAGCTGGTTTTTCCCTGAACAAAGAGTAATAAGGTTCTTAATTTGAATCTATTAAAATTCCAAATAGTTGCAAGTAAAATTAATTTAAAATCTAATTTTTTTCATAAAATTTGTCACTTAACAACCTTTTCGTTCCTATACTGTCCGGAAAATAAATTATATATTCCTATACGAGTACATATGTAACTTATTAAATATTTATACTATGAATTTTTTACTCATTTACAATTTACAAAAACAGTACTCGTACTATGGATGAGTAATCACGACAACTCTGCATTCAGCATATTGAACTTTGGTTCCGTTTGGAAATGTGTGCGTACCTGAAGTAGCATTCGAACCCAAATGCCATGACGCTCTTATTGAATGCTCAGCACTGCAAATCGCATATAAACTAGTTATCACTGTTGGTTGAGTCGTCTGAAAATTAGTGTTCAATGGCTGTATTAAAGTGTTTGGCGTAAATGAGGCACTAAAGTCAATTTCGTCATCGTCATCCTCATCAATTTCAGTGCTGTTATTAATTTCAGTGATATAATTATCTTCAGTGGTGCTTATAATATTCTTAGTTGTGCTAATACTTTTCACAGTTGTGCTATAGACTTTCTCATTATCATCTATCACCTTATTTGCATCAATATTGTCATCCGGAAAATAAATTTTATCCGTATTCGGTGAATATACTGGTCCTTCAAATACTAATCTATCATTCCGTTTTAATTTATGTGTATCGTTATTTGGCGTCATAACTTTGGGAATTCCCATCGACTTACTAATGAGCGTTTTTTCATTTGCATTCCAAGAAATCAATTGCTTTGGTGCTGAAAAAATGTAAAGTGTGCATGTTTAATTGTTAGTTGAGGTCAAGTTATGTGAGTTTGATGACCTTGCAAGAATCTCAATGGTTTTCTAATTTTTGTTGGCTATTTGGATTTACATTTTTCCATAAATTTCTAAAAAAGACATTCAATATTGATGTTCATAAATTAAGTTGAAGAAGGTGTCAGGTAGTTTGGTAAAGGGGAAGGGGTGGCACTTATAACTCGTAATTATCGTAAGACAGCATTTGTGAACGATGAATGAGTTTTTTTAAATTTTCAATAATTTGTCAGTAAAAACTTTTAATTCCAGCGATTAATTTTTATATAAAAACTTCTTATAGCTTTGTTCAACTTGATTGACATTTTAAGTTTCTTGCGACTGAGCTCTACTCCAGTTCTTCTTTAGAAACTTTTTCAAATTATCACTTGATTCATTTTTGCATACCACAACTGGAATTTAAATTAAATTGACATGTTTAGAAGAACCTGTCGAGAGAATTCTAGCAAGGTGTGAAAATCATCACAATTAATTACCAGCACTGATAAAATCGATGACAAAATAAATTATAATAAATTGAACTGTTTTCATTGCCTTAAACGTTTAAATTTTAGCTACACTTATCATTAGCTATTTCTAAAGTTATCACAGGTACACAAAAGTTTTTCAAACTTTCTTTAGAATGGGAAAGTTGTAATCTAAGTTATAAGAAATTCAATAACTGGTAGACTCCAAAGTCTTGCTGTGTTGCTCCTAAAACAATTGAATGAAGACTAAAACTCGAATTTGTGCAAAGCATTTTTCCACACAGTCATAATCGCATACTACATTTTAAAGTCAATCAATACTGCTAGGGTTTCTGAAGTTTTCCTGCGATGATTTCGCATTCACATTTACATTTTAAAAATGTAGAATACTCATAATAATAATAATAATGGGATATACCCAATGTTTTGATTGTAAGATTTGTATGTTGACTTGGAGGTCAGTTTTTATTTTTTAAATATTTGAGATTATCAACTTTTTGTAGCTTAAAACGAGAAATCGAACACTCTGTAATTTAAACCTGATTGTACTACATAAGTTCATTTTTAAAGGGGAATTACTGATTACATAGTAATTACTCAAATAGGAAAATGAATGTAAGTCATCCAAAAAAAACTTAAAAATTTCTTTAACACTTTTAAACTAATAATGAAAATTGCAATAGTCATTTGATTCAGTATTGGCAACTAGAGGATCATGACTCAGCACAGTAGGGTTCAGAAAAAATGTTCATTTTTAACTCCTATCACAGTTTCAAGCAGTTCAATACCTTTCAGTGCTTTAAATGATGCAAATTAAAATAAAGATATAAATATTTAAAATTCAACCGATTGAACACCCTAACACACCATAATCTGCAAAGCTCAAAAAGAAGAAAAAATGGAAATGAATGAAACAAAGTAAGAAAAAACTAAAAAAACTAGTATCAGAAAAAATATTCACTAATATCAATTTTTATCAGACGTAAATTTTTTTTTATTTAACAAAAAATGTCCAAATGAGTTCATTAAACTTCGCGCTCATATTTTGATAGTAAAATATTCATTACTTTACTCCATTTTTTATCACCTAATATCTATCACATATTATCCATATTGTTGATATGCATATGGGAAAAATCCAAAACCAGGAATTTGCACGTTTTGCGGTGCAAATCCAGTTGATCCTCCGCTCTTACAACCAGAACTACTTTGTGTTTGACCTTGACCATTAAATGATGATGAACTTGATGACGATGATGATGAAGAATAAGTAAAACCACCCGCATAGCCTGGGCTATTTCCAGTGTTTACGTTATTACAATTTGATGAAGACCCGCTGCTACCGTTTTGACCTTGATGAGAACTTGATGAACCTGCTTCTGAGACAGAAACTTTCTGACCGTCGGCTGTCTCATAAGTATTTGTTCCCGAATGTGTGTTTGCCATTGCTGCTGATCCATCTTTATTTATTTGACTTGATTGAGCTACCGAATTAGTTTTTGATCCTTTCATGCCATTTTGGTTATAATCAACAGTATTTGTTTGTGCATTACTATTTGACGCTCCATGTTGATTTTGATTTACTGACGATGCGCCACTCGTCTGCTCACGTCTTGAGCCTGATTTATCAATTGTTTCTTTAAGATCAGTATTGGCATTTGATGCCAATAATGATCCAGTAGCTTTGTCAAAGTTAGCTGACTGTGATTGAGCAGAGTCTTGATTCTTATAGCCATCGGCTGTTAATGATGTCTGTTTCTGTGTATTAGCAGCAGAAACTTGGCCTTTCGATCCATCTTGTGCAATATTACCTCCAACCGATGACGCACCGGAATTATGGAATTTCCCTTGATCATTTTCAACTGTATTTGTGAACGAATTAGCTCCGGCAGATTGTTCTTTACCACCATGAACATTTTGTGCTTGAGACTGTGCATTTGCAGAGTTTATTGATGAGACACCCCATATAGGCGGTGCATCATGGTCACGTACTGGAAGTGTTGGCTGCAAAGGTTGCACAGATTTTATAGGTTCTGCAATAGGAATACGAGGAACAGTTGCCACATCTTGTTTAATTGTAATCTTATTCCTATTTAAAATTGCCTCTAACTGGTCAGGGGACACAAAATCACCATCAATTGGAACTAAAACATAAAAATTTGTTATCATAATTACGACAAATTTTTTTTATAAGTTCTTGTTATGTCTTATTACTTGAACTCACGTAGTGTGAACATACAAATGAGATAAAAATTATTAATGAATATTTCATTTTTAATTTATTGTGTTTTTTTTTTTTTTAAATTCAAAAATTAATTTTCTCTTGCAATGACTGAATATGTAGAAAGAGCAGGTAGAAAAGAGGAGTCAAAAAAGTAAATAATTCAAAGTTAAAAAATTCTTTTCTTCTCTTTCTGTGCAACTTAACGATGATGATCTTCACACGTCTATACTCAAAATACAACTAAATTGTCACTCGGGGAGTAAACAATTTTATTGATACTCAATGTAGCCTATACTCTTTTTTTTTGTCTTGCTTATTCCTTCTTCCATACTCAAACAAAAGAAGAAGAAAATGAGCTGTGACAGAACGTCTTTTTACTCAAGCTCCTTGCAAATGTTGTTTTAGCTTCACTTTTGTAGCAATTGCTTGGTCATTTTGAATTCAGTCGAGTTGTACTTGAACTTTCTATTTTTTAAATTGTTAGCCATTAAATTGCACTATTATAATGAAATGATTCAAAAAAAATCAAGATTGGAAGATACTTTTTCCAAGTATAGCTTTAATCAAAGGCGAACTTTAACTTAGCTGACTATGTTCCATATTTTAAGAAATTAAAATTCTCAGGAACAAAATGCGCTACTGTCATTAATCCACAAACAGGTTTTTTGCAAATTTCTTAGGAGAGACTACTAGAACATACAGTTACAAGTTCAGACTATAAATACCCACAATAAGCTTACATTTGATCACTAATCTCATCTTTTATATTCCTTTTCTCGCTCAATTTTTGTATTTCTAACCGTGAACAATCTCATTTTAGATTTGAGCTCGTATGTTCTTAATGCCTTACAATGATGACTCAATGTCAGTATTGAGAGATAAGAAAATTTGTAGAAGCAATTCCAATGATTTATTTGCTATGCATTTCTATCTGCTTTTATGATCTACGAAAATAAATCAGCTGCATATGCTGTTGATGTCTTAAAAAATTAGTAGTTGAAGTAAAGTTAACCGTTAAATAGTTTCTTGCTATATAAATCAATGCTGCCGGGGATTTTCTTTCTTGTGTTAGCTTCCTCTTTGTGTACCAAACATATAAATTTCTTGAAATTCAAGCTGACGTATTTTCCCAAGAAATGTTATTATAGTTTAATTTAAATCATAGTCATCGCTTATGGTCTTGAGCTTCTTCATAATAATCTAAATCTATAATACATTCCAAAAAATGGTTGACTTTTTTATTGACACTAAAAGACACTGATTAAAAGTTTCTATTTGGGATCGTTTCTTAATGATGTCTAACACTTTAGGAAAGGGATGATGAAGATCTCATGCTGGATAACAATCTTTTAAGTGAAACAAAATCCAATTTTTCAAGAGACATCATTTATGAACAAATCCATATTAATGTTTGTGACTTTTGACGTACTTTTAAGTCATCACTGGGTTTTCCCATAAAACTTTTCAATTTTAAATATTTTTAAGAGTCAAAAGATGCTCCAGATTACTGATCAATAATATTGATAAAGTTTTGATTTGAACATTTTCTTTAAGTCAAAATACAAAATATAAAAATTTTCCTTATAAATCAAGTTATTAGTAATTCCGATTTATTTCAATATCAGAATTTACGGTTTACGTTGTTACTTGTTATTGTTGTTGCCGTCGCAGCTGAGATGTGGAGCGAGTAAAATGAGAAAAAGAGAATAGAAGACAAGAGAAACCATAACAAATATAAATTGAGTATTGTTGATGTGCAGCAACAGTGTTGAGACTTGAGTATAGTAAGGTTGATGACTCTAACTAGTTGCAAATTTTTTCATTATTATTCTTGAATATGATTGTACTAATCAGGTTAAAATATGATAATAAGCACAACAAGGTTAATTTGAAAAGCACATTGCTAATCCATTGTTATTTTACTTCTTCACATGTGATTAGAATAATAAAGGCTACGTATAATTTTTACGCTCTAATATCGTGCGTCTACACAAATAAATTTCACTGAGTCTGCCTAGACTTTAAGTTTTCGATTTTTAAGCTTTCGAATCTTTTGTATCGATTCTTTACGATCTAGTTTTTTTGTCTAATCGATCATAAAAAAGCGTCAAATCAAAAATTTGTGAAATATTTATTTAAATTTCAGATTTCTTGATTCTAGAACTTTGTGTTAAAACTTATTAATTGAGGGATTTTTAATGAGATGTTCACAAATTAAGGACGACAATAAATTTCATTCTAAAACAATCTTTGGCCAGAATCTTTGTGCAGATGTTCAATTATTTCATGTGGACTTGGTCTTAGTCGATGCCCTAGCAATCACTTATGTCAATTTAAATTTCTCAATTTAAATTACTCTCTTCCTCTGGCTCTTTCTCTCGTCACTTTAATCACAAGATTCTCTTAATTTTGCTTTGAACTGACCTTCAGCTAAATCAAGGCTTATGTTGTAAACATGACGTCATTACATATATATAAACAAGCATGATTATTTATTACTAATGACTCAAGATAAGCTTTTTCAATAATAAAACAAAATTTCGACAGCCAATTAATGCTTCTATTATTTCTATTTGTTAATTTATGGATGATAAAAATGCTATTGTTTTGTTAATCTGCAGAAAACAACTGTTAAATTCCTGTGTTACCAGACCGCATCAGAAATAAGAAACTTTATGGTTTAAGACGTTTAATAAGTTGCTTATGAGAGTTATAATTATTTTAAATACAATAGTTTATGTGGAAATTAAATCAGAGCATGGGGGAGGTGGATATGATAATTCTTTTTTTCTTGGAATCCTAGGATGGATTATAAGGTAGACTAGCAAGCTAGTAGGTTTTAGGAATGTTTATATTCAGTTGATTTTTATTAAAGACTTAGATATCTGATTTAGAATTGAGGAAATAAATCTAGTGACTGATCAAGGAGAAATTTTCACAAAAATTTTTAACGTCTTTCTTGATTGTTCCTTAGTTAAGGAATGCACGAATATTCTGTTTTGTCTAATGAGTTATAGGTTTCAAATATACTTCTTTAGAACTGCTACATTAAACTTGAACTAATAAATAGAAACACTTAACTGCCTCATATACGTAAACCTTACTTCTCAAAATCTTTGTTATGCTGTTCTTATCATTTAACATCAGAATCCCCCAAACTACCCAGCATGCTTTTAAGAGCTCAATAAAAAAAGTACAAGAAACATTTTAAATGATTTATGATGTATGAAATAAAGAAGTTAAGAACTGTAATTCAAGCCATATATCATGTTTAAATGCGCCAACGCTTAAAACAAATTTTGTATTTGGGTCGAAAACGATTTTTCAGTGAGCTTTTAATTATATCGCACAAAATTTTACTTTGTTTCTCTTTTTCTGCTATTCATTTTCATTAAGTAGGGTTGTTCAGACGTTAAGTGACAATGAACACTTTAAGTGACCAAATCCTTTTGATAGCGACGGTTGATGATTTGAAATTCATTTAAAAGTTTTTAACACCCCCCCCCCCCCCCTCTCTTGTATACCACTCTTTGCGTATTTCCTAATATCCGAATTACCCCTAATAGAATGAATGAATTGTGATTTTTGCTGGCTGAAACAAGCAAGCCTACATGAGGGAATTTAAAAATCCACATAATTAATTTGTGTATAATAATTGGAATTTATTTCTCCATAGAAATGTGTATGAAATTGCATTAATTAATTTGTTCTCTATTTGCAAAAATAAATGAAAAATCTTGTGCGAGATTGAATGGTTCAGAACGCGACTGATTATACAGCATGATATCAGTGATTGAACAATCAAAATATTTGATAATTGTTCAAGCTGAATAAGCTGATAAACAATAGTGATTGAACAATCAATGTTTAGATTTTAATTAACGGTACATTGTCTAGTGGCTGCATCCAGCTGATTAAATTCTATGCAAACAATTAATTCTATAAATTAAATGGCAATGAATTAAATTTTAAACTAAGAATTCTCACTAAGTACCATACAAAACAGTCAGTCTATGCGTTTATGTCACTAGTAACCCAATCAACACCTGAATTAATTTCGGTATTTCCATTCCATTAGCATACCCGAGTGGACAAAGTACTAGTTAAAAGCTTGCCATTGACTTGCCTGTTCACGGCGAGTAAGTATCCATTGACGTGCCTTTGCAACTAGACTTAGGGACGACTAATGACATATTTTGCGCTTTCCATTTAACTGGACATAGGAATTGCACATATGTCTAGTTAATATCCAGTTACAAAAAAATCGAAATAAAATAAATAACACGTGTCTTTTTCTCCATATTTTTTTCTTTTGTAAAATTTTATTATTGTATAAGTGTAATTAATTAATTGAAGTACACTAACCCTTAAGAAAAATCTCTAGCAAAAATTGAGTCTCGAACACTTGCGCGTGAAACATTTATATTTACTTAAAAGTTTCATACAAATTTTGGTAGACCTTATATAAGTGATTTCTGCAAGCGTTTGTGAAGTATATGGTCAAAAAAGTAAGGAAAATTATTTTTGAGTTTCGAGCACTTGATTGATTAGCATGAATGTCCAGTTAAAGTCTAGTTAACGTATAGTTCTCTATGTCGTATATATTTTGACAAGTTAAAAGACTGTTAAATGATTGTCCAATAATGGACTTTAACTGGCTGTGTCCACCCGGGATAAATCCATTATGTGAGTGAATTCTAATTTGTTGAAATGGAAAGTGCACTAATTGGATTGACATAACATAATTGGCAAAAAAAAATAAGTCAACGTGATGTAATCAGCATTTGACAATCACTAACAAGAAAATGCTCGTCCAACTTCTTAAAGATGTTATTTTATTTTATGATTATGCAAAGCATTAAATTTTCATCCATGACGTAGAAATTGCTACTTTTGCATCTCGTTTCCACTAATTTCCTCCGTTTGTTGAACTATTTACTCAATGTTTTTATTACCACTACACGTTCCATTAAAATGACTCGTCTGTCTCTTAATTCACTCAAAGGAAGCCAGCGGATTGCGATTGATTGACTTTGATCAGGAAATGCTTCATGCAAACATTAAATGACGAAGCAAATATCTTTTTATTGGGACTGTTTAAAGTGTTAATTCCAATATATGACAGGAAATGAGAAGAAGTAAAAAATTATACAGAAATGACCATTAGCATAAACATGACAGCAAACTGCTTCTATTTGACTGGCTTTTTTATATGGTGACAACAAAATGTTTTCATTTATATCAATTAATATTACATGGTAAGATTTAATTACCACGAATGCCGCTGTTCTTCTTGTTTATTATATTTTTAATGGCTTTGGGGTCGTGAGGATGTTTCGTTGTAGTCTTGTAAGGAAGAAAATGTATCCTCTTTTAAGTTCAGTTAAGTATTACTTAACAGACTGATAATTCCTAATTTGTTAATGATAAATTAAGATCTTCATCACTTTTAAGATA